TAGATAGATAGATAGATAGATAGATAGATAGATAGAAATATGGATATTCTGAAATAATTACATATACTTTTACTCTTGCGCTTTATTTTACAAAATTCAAGAATCATAAGAACTTTCTGATAATTTTATAAACATTTGAATTTAAGATATTGTTTCATAATCAGTACCACGACAGACTTTTTGATAGGTGTAAAAATACAGTATGAAATATCCGAAAGGTAAATAACCTCTAAAAGGGACTAAGACATTTCCAAATCATCAGTGTCAAATGCCAATTAGGAAAAGCAACACTGTCTACCTGTAAAGCCTGTCCGCTTAAAACATCCGTTTTTTGCTAATAAATTAAATTAACATACTGCACTTTTCATCGCTAATTAAATTCTAGCAATTATAAATGAGAAAAAAACTAACGACAACAAAAAGAAGAAGTGAGACACACAATCTTCCGATGCAGTATTTCTGAGAACTGCCATCTTTCGCCGTGGTTATCTGCGTTTTGATAGTTTTGAATACTACAACCTGCTGCAAATTTTCTCGCATTTTTAACCAAAGAATCGACCAAAAATTTATTACTCTCCGCTCCTCACTCAAATCTTTTTTTATTCCCCATTTCGGCAAATAAAACCCAATTTGCAGTTTAGAAAGACTATTCAAATTTTTATCTATGCGCAAATTTTCAGTGAGAAAAATTTCTCGCTTTCATCTCATTCTTATTGAATTTCAGCTGGACAAGTAAGGATTTGCAAATTACACAAAAATATTCAAATTGTAAGTCTACAAATTATAATCGCACCAATGAAGCGTTGAAATTTCAGTTGGTTATTTTTTCAAAAGTTGCACGTGAGAATGTAAGGAAGTTTTCCTTCTCATTCAATTCGTTGAACATGAACTTTCTTATTTTTACAAAAAGGTGCGTGTTATTAGACACATGACAATGCGTAGCTTAAGTGATTTTCTCTTATTGAAGTTAACTGGAAATAATAAAATCAGTAATTACCGCATTTTTCCCTTTATTTTCTGTTTTATCCAGTATCGTGTCGTTATCAAGATTTCTGTTCGATAGATCATTACTTTTATTTGTTTCTGTTAGTTTTTCAGTTGATGTAGTTGATTCCTCACTAACTACAATAAGATGAATATTATGATGCTTGAGAATTGAACTGATTAAGAATTAGAAAACTGACTCAAACAGTGCTTAAAGAAAATGATTTTAGCACGGAAAATATTTCATAGGATTTATTCGAAACAGAGGGTGGCAAAGAAAGTAGTTCAATAAATTGTGAACGAATAAAACTGAACAATCATAATAAGCAAGCTGAACAAACAGCTACAACTGGAACTTTTTAGGAAGACAGAAAACTATGCTAAGAATTTTTTGATACCTTGTGGCTAATATATTTAAAAACTTTGGAGAAAGAGTCCTCAACTGAAGAAGTCATATGTGTGGAAGACTTCCTCAAGGATGTCGTAAATTTTGTTTAGAAAAAGTAAAACAGGAAAGAAGAAAAATAGTTGGGAAGAAATGAAATTACCAGTGAAAAAAATTGGCAACAATAGAAGAAGAGACAGGAAAGAATTTCGTTTCGAATTCCTCAATCGATAACCGACATCCACACCTACGACCAACCAACACATTTCAACGCAAGAAATAAGACTTGTACCAGTCATAATAAACTTTTTATCCGCTAATTTGCATAAACAAATAAACATCAAGTATGAAACAAATAAATGAGAAGTTTCGCATTGCACTTACCAAGTTGTTTTCAAGGAAGAAGCCTTTAGAGCTGAGAAATGATAAGCAGTAACAGAAAATATTAAGAAATCACTTCAGCAATTTGCTTTAGAATTTTGCTTTCTATTGAAATTTACTTGCGAATTTTTGATTGAAATAGGGAATCGCATGGCAGTGAATCACTAATTTCAAACAGACAATCCAAAAGAATAATCCCAAAATTAAATAATAAATTGGTCTTAGAACGAATACTTGACGATCAATAGCAGCCTTAAAGTGAAATCTTTTGGTTGTTATGTGGTCGTTGTTTGCATTTGCATATTTGGGAAGGGCTTTGGATAGGACGTGTGTGTCCACGTTTATTTGTTGTCTGAGGATGTTAGAGGATTGTGTATGCTACGTACATTAGTCTAAGGGAGAAATTGATTTCAAGTGACCTGCTCGTAATAAAGAAACTCTTTTACCATTAATTTATCATCCAATTGATTCGGAATAGTATGGCTTGTTAGCCTTATTTTTTCTTATTGCTAAATTTATTTACGTAACCTATTATAAGAGTTGGCAACCAGTTTGCAGTGACATTGATATGAGTGCGATATTTCTCCATCTTGTTCATTCTTCGCTTTCACTCTATTTCTGACTGTGGTGGTGTGTTCTATTATCGATGAAAGCTCTTTCATGTAACGAGTCATGTAGGTCTACAAATTGTTCATTACAATCGGAAGCTGCGAGTTCATAAGTTTTTTTGTTTATGTTCGAAGTAATCTTTTCTAAAATTTTATGATTGTACTATATAGCTTTGATATGTTCAAATACAGCATTGTCGTCGGAAATAGCATGACTAATATTCATGGAAGACATCACAGACTTATAATGAAATAATAAGACACTTCTCCAATTTTAAGAATCTCAATGTCAAAATTGGCAGTAGAAGATGAAACGGCTTGTACAGCAGCAAAGAAATTTACGGACTTATTCTACGATGCTGTTGATCGAAAGCGAAATAAAATGAATTTCTTATACACCGATGGAGCCACGCTTGTTTGGAATGGTAACGCCATACAGGGAGTAGATATTATCGCCAAATTCTACGATGGTTTGCCCAATTCTACTCACACGTGAGTTTAATCTTAGCACATCCTTCATCTTTTATTTCATTTAAATATTAGAAAAAATTGTTTGCCGACACACTTAAATCTATGCATTAACATATTTTACTTTATGTCACAGTTGTGTCTGCGTAAATTTTTTCAAGTTTACGGACTTATGATGCCGTTGATTGAAAGCGAAATAAAATTGATTAAAGCGACTTGTTGTTCTTGCTGCATGTATATAGTAGTTTAGAACCGATATTTCAAAATCAAACTTTGTTATGGTGTTTGGGGACAACCTTAACCAATCGTTGTAGCAAATAAGGAATAGCAAAATCTTTACTTTTGCCTGACGTTAAATCGAACACTGGTAATGTATAAAGCAATACAAATATTGTCAACCTCATGGTTGAAATAGAATCACCAAAAATAAAATTACCGAAAAGTAAAAAAAAAACCATGAAAAAGGAATCACTCTATATAGCTAATAGAAAAACAGCTTATAGCGGGCAAGCTCTTGTATGGCTACGAAAATATTGGGTGAGTAATATCAGAACTAAGATTGCATTATTACTTGCTTGTTGCTTATGGAAACTGGTTACCTGATTAGCATTTCAAGGTTAGGTTGATCTTATTGAAGTATTGATTAATTGTTTTTTAAAATTCATCCGGGCATCTTCAGGTTAGAATCACTAGATTGCCAATATATCGACAGTTCCGACCAGGCGCGTCCGTTGGTAGTTCTTGCCGTTGGAAAAGTGGTTCTTGGTCAAATGACACATGCCTTTACGCAGACATTAGTATTGGCATTGGAAGATGAAAAATATAAAATATTGAGCGACCGGTTTCGTTTCATTGATTGATATTTCATCTCTTTCCTCGAAGTTGTTATATAAGCAAGCCGGTTGGAATGCCTTAAAGATCTACTGTTTTTTATCGATTGAGATTGCTGTTCTTGTTATATGTATGAGTCTAAACCAATATTTCGAAATCAAAAAACTTCACTTGCTGGCTGAATTTCACGAAACCTTTATAAAGTTTATTGTGAATGAATTTAACTATGCACCATATGAAGTGAAATGTATTGTACTGTGTACCATCAATAAAACAAATGTTTATTCTACTGAAAATGCATCTGATTACTATATTACAATAACTCTGCAAGATTTAATACATAACAACCTGTAAATAAGGAAATGGATTTCAACAATCTATTTAATCCAAACAAAAATGCTTAAGAACTTGCAAAAATAGGAAACAATTAGTAACGGTAATGGTCTGGTTTGTATGGTCCTTCGATAGGTATGCCAAGATACTCAGCTTGTTCCGGTGTCAATTTTGTCAGCTGAACGCCAAGTTTGTTTAGATGGAGTCGTGCAACTTCTTCGTCCAGTATTTTTGGCAATACATGAACGCCAATGCTATACTGTTGTGGAGTTCCGTGTTTTGTAAATAATTCAATTTGTGCTAACACCTGTAGTCAGAAATGCTAGAAATGGAGAACAATAAGTTATAAACAGTCGGACCAAAAAATCATCTAATATGTTATTTAAAATGACTTCAACTGATTCATTTCAACGACAGAGTCAAGACTTGCATCACAGATACTGAGACCAGAACTTCAAACTATGTCTTTCACCCATCAAATAGTAATGATATTCAAGTATAAACCTGATTTGTAAATGATGTGCTCATAACAAATGATGGATGTCCTGTAGCGCAACCTAAATTGCATAGTCGCCCTTCTGCTAACACTATGATGTGCCTTCCATTTTCTAACAGATATCTATCAACCTGCAACGATCATTCATTGTTGGGAAAATATGCTAAAACTTAAATTCAAGAGGATAAAATAAAATACACAATATTTTACATAGTAATAGAACGATTTAAAGTATACATAAAGTAAGACTCACATATTTTATCCAAATTCTTTCCCAAAGAGTCCAAGAAAAATTTCGAACACTAAAGAACTTAAAATGAGTTAGTTATCTAATTTAAACAGAAACTAAACAAGTACCTGAGGCTTTACTGTATCTCGGCTTATCGCATTTTTATTTAACCAATTTACATCAATTTCCACATCGAAATGTCCAATATTGCAGACAATAGCATCTTCTGGCATTTCAATCATATGCTCTCCTCGAACAACACATTTGCAACCGGTTGTAGTGACTACGATATTTGCTATTGATGCAACATGCTCCAAAGTTTTAACTTCATATCCTGAATAAAGTAGTCATTTTCCTTCAAAAATTTTTTAAGCATAAAAGCAATACGTCTGTTACGTACCTGTAGACAATAACTGTTGCATGTTACAGTAATCCGTGCGATTTCATTTTCCAGCAGTATTGGTGCAATAAAATTACATATGTTAATTCATAATAAAATATAAAAACTACATCAAAATCTAAAAATCTAAAAATTGTATCAGAATTAATCGATGTAGTACCTTCCATAGAAGCTTGTAAAGCATTGATTGGATCAATTTCAGTGACAATCACTCGTGCACCAAATGCTCTCAGTGAAGCAGCTGCTCCCTTTCCAACGTCTCCATAACCTGCCACAACAGCAACCTTTCCAGCAACCATTACATCCGTTGCTCGCTTGATACCATCCGGCAGTGATTCCCGAATCCCATATAGATTATCAAATTTTGATTTCGTGACACTATCGTTTACATTTATTGCTGGTACCTAGCAAGAATGAGAAATTACGAAAAGTCTGTATAAAAGAATATAAATACAACTGTGGATCAGTATCTACACTACTCAAAAGGAAAAATGTAGATTAATCAAAATATGCGCAATGACACAACATGGCATAACACTGCTGTAAAATAAAACTTGAGCCAAACAACCACTACGCTTTGTGGTGGTTGCTTGGCTTTTGTGCTTTTGATTAATTTAAATTCTAGGCGCAAGCTATTAACTTATTTTTTTCAAAAATATTGCCCAAAAAAATCAACCTTTAATTTACCAGCAGCGAACATTTTAGAGAGATTGTGTACGCCAGTTGTAGTTTCTTCACTAAGACCATAAATTCCAGACAGGTACTGAGGAAATTTTTCATGAACGATATTGGTTAAATCACCTCCATCATCCAAAATCATATTCAAGTACTGATCATCTTTAAATACTAACGTCTGAAATTTTTTGAACTGATTGAAAAGTCACTTCCTGGTTGCTTCATTGTCTTGCATGTCAAAAATCTTTTCAGTAGCTGTGTTTGTAGAGCGTGATCTCAGAAGCACAAGTATTGATTTATATAAAGTATTGTTTTAAAAAAGTAAAGTAAATAAACTTTACTTTACTACTGAAACATCACAGTATGTCGCCTGAACCACACTGTGTATATTCCAGATGTAAAACATGAAAACATGACAATTAATAAAGGGAGGAAAATATTTCTAAGTAATTTCTGATAGAAAATTAAGTGCAGGAGATGGAGATTGAAACCTGTACAAATTTAAAACGAAAAGTTCAAATTTGCGCACAGTCACCTGTAAAATACACCATTCATATTCTTCTTCTGTTTCTCCTTTCCATGCATACACGGCAATACCTTGCTTTGCTATTGCAGCCGCAGCATGGTCCTGCGTTGAAAATATGTTGCATGACGACCACTGAACCTAAACGTAAAAGCAGCCAACTAAATACCTGCTATCACCAATAAAAAGAACCACCCATTGTAAATCTAAAGATCTCTAAAACGATAGAGAATAATGGCAGATTAGCAATCTGCATTATTAATTATTCTCTATCATTTCCGATGTAAAACTGATGCACCACATCTATAAATAACACGTACATTTTCATAAATCTAATTTTCAAACAAATTATACCTCAGCACCAAGTTCCACTAACGTTTCAATCAGTACCGCAGTCTGGACGGTCATGTGTAAGCAACCAGCTATGCGGGCTCCTTTCAACGGTTTCATTGATCCATATTTTTTACGCATCGCCATTAAACCAGGCATTTCATTTTCCGCCATCATTATTTCCTTGCGCCCAAATTCGGCCAAACTTATATCAGCTGAGTGTACAATTAATCATTCAAGATTAGTTAAAAAATCAGTAGACAACTTCATTAACTTATTTAATTTCTATATTGACAGTTCTGGTAAATATTCGATGCAAAATTCAGCAGCAAGATGTAGATAAATGAAAGCTGATAACACAACACATAAATTGTCTACAAAATAGTAGTCGGCAAAAATGATAATGTCGCTTCAGTAAAATGTTCAAATCAAATGAGAGACAAAAGAACTTACCAACTTTATACGGAGGTTTGGAAGACATCTGGGATGAATTTCTTAATTAATGCGACAAATCTAAAACGTCCAATGGTAATGTGATCTGTTGCAAACCACTTCGAAATTGCAAGTTTAACAAAACGATTGCTATGAAGTTTATAATGCGGTAGTTCCGAAGAAAACATACGTCGTTTTTCACTTCTCAATGAAATTTTCGGTACCGCATCCACGTAGTAAAATAATTTTTTGCTCCGCAGTTCTTTGTGTTGTTAAGGATGTGTGATATTAAAATGTAGATGAGATGTAGAAGTTAAATATATAACATCGATTCTAATAATCACAAGAAAAAATCGCTTGTGAAATTTATGAAAACATTAATCATATTTCGTCTTTGGATATCGTTGTAATTGCTGACATCAATGGGAACTAAGAGAAGCAGAATGGGAACTGAACAGTTATTTAACAAATTTTTTTTATAAAAATTTTTATTGAACAATCAAAATCTCTTTACTTCTGAAAAAAGATAAAGTAAATATGGTATAACAATATTTCATTTTTTAGATTTCCATTCCTTAAAATCCGAAGAATCAGATGATGACCGTTTAAATGAATTAAGCATTTCAAATCAGTCATCGTCTGCTTCATCAGCTGGCTTTGATGGTCGCGGTGCTGGCCCTCCACTCGACTGTTTAGACATAATAATCTAAAAATTTGATAAAATTACACTGCATTAATGCAGAAGTTACAAAATTTCAAATTATGCAATAAATTTGTTCTGGTACTCCAGTTCATTTCTTATTCGTCCCAAAGAAGTTCATAAATTAAGATAATTTTGAATTCGAAAGTTCCTCTTTTACTGTGACCTTATTTATGAATAAATGCTTCATTGTCACATGTAATAAAGCAAGAAATAAGAAAAACCGACTCAAATCAAATCACTAGGGATAAAATGTTATCAAAACATTAGCTCCAAACCTGATCTATTTTCAGAATAGTAATTGCAGCGTCTGCAGCCAATTTGATAGCAGATTTTTTACCACTATATAGATCGTAAATATCTGCCTCTACAACATCCATTATATCTCCAGAGAGGAGATCGATTCCGGCATTCCTTTGACCTTCTTGATGAGCAGCATAAATTTTGGAAAGTATCTCAGTTGGCTAAAATATTACCACCGAATACAGCAATCTATTAATTAATGATTGTAGGTTGAAACCGAATGATTTATAAAAGATATTTCAATAACCAATTCACTTACATCTAATCCAGCGTTCTCGGCAATTTGTTTCGGCAAAGCTTCCAGAGCATGCGCAAATTTTTTGATCGAATACTGTTCAAGTCCAGCGCACTTCTCACCAAACGATTCTATCTGTCGAGCCAGTTCAACCTCGACAGCTCCAGCACCAGGAAGCAACTATAATGTAAAGAATCAATTCGATTCTAACTGCGTTAGAAAAATTTATCTGCTAGAATTACTTCGCTACTCATACAGTGCTCGCTATTAAAAAATTGAAAGAAAACTGAATATCATGCCAAGCAATAATAGACGTCCCAAAAAGGAAGCACAAGGCAACTGTCACATGATCTGTTTCATTTACAAACTGGTCAGTTCATAAATAATCCAGGCTAACATGCGGCACTGTTTTCTAAATCAGTTTGATCATATTTTGGGAAAATATAAAGACAAAAAAAAAACTTTACGTTTCTTCAAATAGTTTAGAATTTATGAAGTATCCTATTCACTGCTTTCAACAAAATGAAACACAACCTGGCAATTTCTTGTAAGTGCTTTGTAAGTATTAATTGCATCGTCAATGGCTCTCTCAATGTCATCCATTCGGGACTGACTCGAACCTCTGATGACGATTGTCGCAACATGTCCTCGCTCACTTAACTTGTCAAATATCGTCACTTCCGTCTCGCCTATTTCGTCTGTATATACTCGATCACATTCACCATAAGAAATTCGCGATGGAACACACTAAACACATGGAGTCTAAGATTTTTCAAAAACTATGTCAATTTTATGGCAACAGATCAAAATAAAAAATGTTTACGTCACTCAAATCATTGGGGAATGACATAAACTGCGGAATGAAAAAACAAAAAAAAAAGAGAAATGATTTGAGTGACATAAACTTTTTTGACAATTATAGACATTTTCGTAGTCCAATTAATTAAAACAATTTTATATTTTATACTCTGACAATTCAATGCACTAGTTGCATTTCCTGTTTTGCTTTTCTATTCATCGCGATGAGTATATTCCAGTGCTATGGAACATACGCTACAACGTGACAAATAAAAAATATTTTATAATTTAAATCAATTTTTTTATCACCAAAACTAATCAACAGTGATGAAGTATTTCACTATTCATTAAAACAAAATAGAATTAAAATTCGATTAAGAACAGAAATACATATCCGACCAAGGAAAGCATCACAGAACTCAAATTCTCAAGAACTGTTCAAATATGAATGTTCGATGTAAAAACTTACTACTCGCGCTTGCGCTTGAGCTCCAGTGGTTCGACATAATCTTCTGAGATCGAACTTCGAAGTCAGTCTAACACCCATAATTTTATATTTGTTCAAGAAGTGAACATAGAGATCACCAAATTTTCCTGCTGCTACTACAACATTGACGCCATTTTCAGCCAGAGCTTTTACAACAGTTTCTACTTCGGCTTCTTCTCCAGCACTGAATTTCAGCAGATCATCAGCACTTTCCAACAAAACTGTGCCCTGGAAATTAAAATTCATCAGAGTCACATATAGTTTACACATTCATATAAGTTCAAAACATCATTAAATGACAATCTACCCAACCAAATTCTAATGGTTACTATCATCAGCAGGACAATAACCGTATCATAAGTTCTTTTTTCAAAGTTGTGCAGAGCTAAATCCTGCAAGCATACTTAAATATGTCTGTAGCAAATTACCATAACTCTGGTAATGCTGTTTCCTCTCAAGAAAAATCTACATATCTAGAAAATTCTGACTAAACATCTTATGGAGTATGCAATCTCCATCATGATTACCTTCGTTTCTGTTTGTGTCAAATCAAATGGGCAGGTATACACAACGATTCGGGCTTTATCCATTTTTTTGATTTCACCCTCAGCTCCACGTAGGAAAATCATTCCATTCATAGTTTTTGAAGATTGAACAGATGAACCAAGGATTTTGCATACGCGAATATTATCCACGTTGAAATTATATGTGTTCGTTGGTACAATTTGAACTAAAATCAATCTTTCAACTATATAAACTGGTCACTTGGGAAATTTATTAGCTTGTGAAATTGTGTGGTCTACTGCCTATACTTTCTATCACTTCAAGAATCATTTTTTTACATTGTTCTAATATATCCTATTTCAGCATTCACTGTCAATGTAAAATTTAGACCAACAGTATGTTCAATATGTCTTATATCATCCAGATTTTATTACATGCGAATATAAAAAAAAGATTCACCACAAGCTTTGGCAACCAGATGTGTAATAAAATCAACATTGTCGTACTGTTTTGACATGACCGCTGATTTCAGATACTTCTGCACCACTTTAACATCTCGAAAGTCCTCAACCTTCTTAACAACTAGTGATGGCAATATTTCCAATGTTTTGTCTGTCGCAATCTCATATCCATTAGCAATCTCAGATGGACTTAAACCCTATAAATTTTGAAATTTGAAACGAAATCTATTGCTAACGCAGAGAATTTCAGGAGCATTGAAATGTACTGATTATTTTCGATCGATTCGAACTTTGCTAAGAAAAAAATGCTAGGACTACCAAAACTCCTAGAGTGTTTTTATTGTTATCGATAAATTTTCTTTGGATCTGTTTTCTAGAGCTATATATTCAACTTGCATTACTAGTTTATAATACTGAACAGTTAACCAATATCTATCTAACAACTGTGGCAAGTAAAAAATATACTACTGCAAATCAGATGCAAACGATTACCATGTTCAACAATTGAGAAGCGTGTTCCAGTAATGCAGCACCGAAAATTACGATTGTATTCGTGCCATCACCGATCTGTTTCTCTTGCATTTGAGTGGCCATAACAAGCATTTTGGCTGCTGGATGTTGCACTTCAAGTTCTCTTAGGATAGTTCCAGCATCATTCGTTACAAACAACTTCTCGATATGATTGATCATCATCTTGTTCATACCTAAACATTTGCGCTATGTGTTAACATAAATCTCAAATCCAATGGCATGAGTGCACTATACTATAGCCAAATTCTCTTTACATTTAATTCTACTATCAATTTATGTACACTAATTAATTGTCACAAGATTATTACCACTTGGCCCAAATGCTGATTGGATCTGAGAAGAGAGTTCGACGCATGCCTCAATATTACGTTGTACAGCCTCTTCCGTACCTTTGAAATGCTGGAAATCATCCAAAATACATTCAAAAAAGAGAAAAAATGAGGAGCAGTAGCAAGAGAAATAATGCTTTATGAAGATAGGGATCAGTGATAATTTGTAAATTGTCTGTAATAACTACCTGTGCACCTTCTTTTAGGAAGCGAGCATATCCGGATTTCGGAATAACCATAGCCATTCTGCCTGTCTGAAAAAAGCAGATAAAAACCAGCTACTGTAAAAGTATAGTACGGAAGGATCCACAAATGTATATAGGTCAATTAACTCACATCACAAATGCGCCCGTATAAGCGTTATCTGAAGCTGGACAAACCGCAAAATACTACTTGGGCTATAGCAGATTTGGGTGGGAGTATTCGCTCGCGCTGACTGATGCGCCTGAATCCCGTCGAGAGGGTAAGCTGGATGGTGTAGGGAGGAATGAAAGGTAGATTTTAACTTTATGTGTAGTCGGTTTCGCTCCAAAATAAGGACTGCCATGGGATTAGGGTTAGATGCTTCATCTTCATCCACTTTTTTTCAACTTCATCCACTTGCGAACACACGTATACCGAATATGGCACAGAAATGGATGGAATGATGGGGCGAATCGAGAGTAGGAGGAGGAGACTGTATTGGCTTGCTTAATAACCATATCAAGCGGAGCAGGTTGATGGTCTACTTTTATCCACTTCATAGTTCACCCTCACTCTCACAAATATAAATAACATTTATAAATTAACTATATAAACTATAAAATTGGGTTATATAAAAGTATATACAAAAATATCAGTGCAGTAAATCATGAAACTCTCCGATACAGGTCGTTACGAATATTTCACATTACTTGAATTAGAAACGTCGTTGTAAAAGTTATAGATGGAGACAAAATTATTTTGCTAATTTCAAATACTTTGAAATGAAAATCATTGACAAAACTTAACTAATCATTATTGGCGGTTATGTTTTTTTTGAAGAGACTTGCAAAACCGTAAGCTGTTGTGATGATTAACTTGGTGTCCATTGCAATTTGCAACAAAGTGATGCTGAACAATATATATTATTAATTTTAGCTCAACAGATACCTTACATGAAGCATGTAGACATGTATTCTACTTTTGAGAAATTCGTTATTCTAATTTAGGAGAGAAAAATAAAATGCATTAAACTTTTATAAAAGGACTGCGAAGCAGCTGTTCCACTTTACACAGTCTCAACACAACGTGCTTGTTCTGAGGGTTCTGTTTAATTTTAAGTTTCTCTTGGATCATTTTACTTCATATCAGTTGCAACGTATAAAGCGACGTACGTGGAAAAATCTAAGATAATCGTTTTCTTTTGTCTACTCATTCAACTCACATTATTATGGCATATAAAAAACCAGAAATGGAAAAGCTTTCGAATTGTTACCAAATTGCTGGATGATTCTATTTAGCGGTTGCGAAAAAAATAGACGGAAGAGAATTTAAAGCATAAATTGACTGCACCGTAACCAAAACGTTTGGAATACTCCAGAAACAGGACAAAACATACGGAAGATTTTGAGTTTTGATCTCCAAAATAAAATTAATTGCAAAAAAAGAATAACCATATGCGCCATAAAAGTTACCAACATCCAGTTATTAAATTGATTATTGATAATTCAGGCTATAAGACTTTTGTACAGAATCAATCTATAATAAATTCAATTAACACTTTCATCTTAATTTGGCCATTTAACAGAAAAAAATTCAGATTGAAATCAACATAATCACCCCACTTGTTGATTTGATATTACTGTCCACAGCCTATTTTAATTTTTTTACTAGCAATAGCTCTCAGTGAAAATCATTTCTTAAACAATTGCTGAAACATTTATTATTATTTTATTCAACTTTTCTTTCTTCCCATAATCGTTGTTTATATAAGAGTGATTCATTAAAATGGAGACATTTTACTTCTGAGAAATTGGAGAAATCAGGGAAATACATCCGATGTTATTCTAACAATGATAGATGCATTGAGTTATCTCGAGGTCATCGTGCTGACGATTCTGATTCAAAAAGATATGTGATTTATTATACTGACAGTCTTCGGGAAGTATTACAATTTTTAATTAAATTTTTGTCCCACATTAGGATAAATCCAAATCAGAAATTAAATATCGGAAATGGGCGTTGTGTGAAAAAGGACAATGGACATTTATTTGATTCATTGTACATTGTCACATTATTGGTGAAAGAAAGCTGTCCTTTTATTTTTATTTGTTAGCTCCCACATTTCACGAAACATACAAATATGAGAAAAAAGTTTCCACCACATTTTTAATATTCGACAGTTAAAAGTAAATTACAACAAAGAGAAAGAGCTAATGAAAATCTGAAATATCTTTCGCCAAATGTCTTTTTTCGATTTTCATAAGCCAAATATGAAATAAATCGCGAGGAGCTGATTGGCCAGCTTTATCATGTAACCTGAATAAAATTTGTCTCATTCCAATAGTTATTTGATTAATTTCAATATTTCATAGATATTCTCATGATCAATTAATTGATGCGTAGAAACAAAGTATCTATTCAAAACTTTAAAAGTATGACCCGCAGTAGTTCAAAATGGTGCCTCACTGGATCCTGGAAGCGCAGAAGGAATGTGAGAATTTCATTGAGACTAACTCATTTGAGGCATGCTTCCAGCGCTTGCTTCAGTTGAGACGTCTCTTTCTTTTGCGCTCGCGTCATGGGCCTCATCGGTTGCTTCTTCCGCTGCCTCTTTCGCGGTTGTAACCTCGTCTTCTGCTTCTTCGGCCACACCTGCCGCTTCGGTAGTCGCATTTACTTCACTTTTGATGATCTTTTTTTCCTTGCCATCGGTGGTCATTTTTCCGTTGCCATCAGTAGCCGTTTGTCCTTTGCCTTGGGTAGTTGATATTCCTTTGCCTTGCGCAAGTAATGCCATCTTTTCATTTCCCGCTGCAACAAAGTTATCGGAGTAACGACTATCTCACAAACATCACCTTAATATTTCCAACTAGCTGACTCCTTTCATCTCTCACAAAGAAAACACCAATATTTGCTTACTGTCGCTATTCCCATAGCTTCCTCCACTCCCGCACAGCAAAATGAACACGACAATAAAAAGAGCCGTTGAAAATGCCATCGCTCCCCTAGTGAATAATGATTGATCAAATAAACTAATCCTTTTTATATTCTTACCAGTTGTTCATCAAATTTGCATCAATTGATGAAAACAGTAAAGTCAAAAATTTCCATAATATATTCGTCCCCATGGGCAATTCTTAAAATGACATCAATTTTAGCGCATTTTTAAATTTTAGGGATGATAAATTTGCATTTAAAAAAGATTTTAAAGTATTTATAAAGAGAGCGTAAATCTTAAAAGTTATCTGAAACAGCGGTTGACAACAGTATCATTCTTCGCTAAAACATGGACGTTGCTAATGAAGGGTTTGATTGTGATATCTTGAGATTCATCTTATAGTTTCAAATTCTTAATTCCTAAAAACGCATAGGATTCACGTCAATTGTGCAAGAATATTGATTTCATGAAATCCTGAAGTATAAATCATCGATGGAGAAAAATCTCTCCAACTCTTCAACTTTTAATTCCATAAAAATTTTTTCCAGATGGAAATTCATGATTACTTTGCCATTCCTAAGCCTTATACCATTTGTTGCACTGTTCATTTTCCTGGCTATTTACTTTGGCCGAAGCAAACGAGCTCAAATAATGGAGCAACAAAACGCTATTGCATCATTTGATCAACAAGTAATGCTAGTTCTTAAATCACATCATACTGATATTATCAATTCATTACAAAATTCCATTCCAAGCATTCCCGCCGAATAATTTTGCTGTGATAATTGAGAAAAAGAATTTCAATCGGAAAAAATTTTCTTAGAATCACATGCGAAATGACAAAAAAAAGGAAAGTTTGGTGAACAATACGCAATCAACACAAAAATCTGTAGATTGTACAACAACAACAGTCAGCAGAGTAAAACACTGTGATATTGAAACTGATACTGATGGTACGTTTTTCAAGATTTCTGGTGGGTTCAAATTAGAGCTATTCCAGGAAGCTTCAGAATCATATAGATCGAGAAGAGAAATTTTGAAAGCAAATCTTTTTTTAATTGGTGCGTCATAAAATTGTTTTGCTTAACAATAGGATATTAATTCTCTACATTTTAAATTGTCATTTTCAAAAAATTCAACGGGAAATGAGGAAACGATCTCCGCTACGGTCGATATCATAAAATGTATAATGTTATGTTGGAATATCCATTTCAGGAATAGAAATTAAAAAAGTCACCAAAAAAAGTTTTTTTCGAAAATGAAACTTTAATCTGTTCATCATAAAAACAAGTTTCCAATATACTTAGGATATTATTATCGAAATGAAATGATTGAAAGCTTGGTAAGAAGGTGTGATGATAGAAACATTAGCAGTGATAAAGTTTAGGGGAGTAAGAAGTGGAGTTAAACAAATGACAATTATACTCTGAATCCATTAAGTTGCGTGATAGATGCATGCAAATCACGCATGCACATAAATAAAATGCATGCAGAATATATGCCATCTTTCATTTCAACATATGGGAAATTCTCTTTCACCTGCATCACACAAACTAGTTTCAGCCATAAACGTAAAACGAAATAGAATTCTGGAGGACGTACCATCCGAGATCATAAATACTTCTATGGAAAAAGCAAGTATTTTAGAAAACTTTAACATGAAATTTCTAAAAGTGAAATTGGATCAAAGATAATATATCCTGAATTTTCGGAGAAGCTAGGTTGTTAAAATCTTTGCAAACTACTTCATGACAATCATCATTTTTATCTCAACCTTAGTTTCTAGAATTTAGCAATTAGCACCAATTAATCTATTTTTAGAATGATTCAAGTGTACAGCTACAAAGTTTACATATTTCAACAAATCAAAATGCTCCAGAAATCCCACCAACAATTGTGACAGAGGGTGAGGAAATCGAGAGAGATATCACTGGGAATCAACCGTTATATCAAATCACGTATGTCACGCAAAATCTGTTACGTATTAGAGGCAATGAAGTTAATGAGGGATAAGATGTTTGATATAAGACGCTTTTCTTTAATTCTAAAAACTTCAAAGTAAGAATTTCCAGTAAGTTAATTCATCTATCTGTACGTCAATCTTCATAATGTACTTCAGATTTCTGCAATTTCTCTTCATATGGAGCATGATTAGCTCTTACTGTTTATTGTTATCAGTTATTATATTGCAGTTATCAATTATTCTACTTTAGTTCAATGCCATTTAGAAATCCAAGATTAACACCAAAAATATTATTAATGGATGCTAAAGATACATTAAGTGTTAAAAAAATATTAAAAATACTTTTAAGAAAAAGTGCTCAAAAAATTGTCAACGTTTTTTCGCATGAATTAGTTTCATCTCATCCGATGTCAAATCATAGATCTTCACAACCGACAAGGTTTGCTTTTTCACGCAAACTTTTTCGAGCAGCTCTTTATCGTTATTTATTATTGCTATTTATCATTAACATAATTATCATCAATTGTAAACATGACATTATAATACTTAAATAACGCATTCAGTTATCTTATCTAAGAGCAGAACTTTCATCTCACTAACGCTAATACCTTCTGATATTTCGTTATTCTAAATTTTCACTTTTTCTGTAATTATCTAAATATTAATCCAAAAAATTATTCGAGAAGTTTATCCATGTTATTCATCAAATTCATAACCAGAAATTGGATAATTATCCAATTTCAATTATCCAAATTAATTATCCAATTAACATTGCCCGAGAACATTTCCAGGGAACATTTCAAGCAATTATTTAAATAGTTATTTAAATAGAACATTTCAAGCGATTATTTAAATGAATAATCGTTGAAGTGGTGGAAGAATTTAATAATTTTATATTGAGTAAGATAAAAACTGTTCTACAATTCTACAGATTCCTTTGCAAGTTCGAAAACCCATCTGAATTGCATAGCATTTTCCCATTTAATCACTCCGTGATTAATATATATTTTTTGGGAAAATTAAAGGATATTTCACATTAGGAGAAATTGTTGACAGTGAATGAATGGGTTAAGGAAATAAATTCAATTATACTACGAAATAACAGTGATTGATGGGAGGATATTTTAGTAGTGAAACAAAAGCAGGTAAAAGTGAAATTTACATGCTAGATTCGGCTAACACTGTTAGCTAGCTACGTTTCCATTAAATACAAAAGTTTCTATGAAAATAATGATGTACTGCATGTCCCCTAAACGTAACAATGTCCAGAAATCCATTACATGGATATATGATTGATCAACGATACATTCAGTAGATACTCTGACATTAAAATAGCATGAGTCAATCATATTTCCTCTCCTCTCTCCTCTTTTCAAGGTAAAAAAAAAATCTTCCGACATTCAAAGCAATATTGAATTTTAAGAAATTCAACAGAAGAGAACTCCGAATGTACGGAATTCACAATCCCAGAATTCCAGACCAACATATCGAAGTCGTTAATGACTGAAGGTTCATTGTTTTCCAAATCAATATTAATGACCATTAAAGATCACTATTTACTTTCCATAACTGTAACAGATCAATGATCGATGTCTATTTCCAGCTATTTATATTGATCACTTATTCTCGGGACAGCTTTTTTTTCAATTTTTTTATGCAAAGCAATTTTCCAACTAATATCATAAATTTCAAACATAATGCCGATTTGTAGACACATCACTATATCCAATTTTATCACAAAGTTTTGAACAGAAGATATAATTTGTGGTTTTTAACCATAAGCATCGGTTGATAGATGATGAATAAGAAATGCCAGTTTGGAAGCCTGCCTAACAAAACTGGCAACAATGCAAAATTATAATGCAGTATATAATCCAAAGATCGAAGAAATCTAAAAATTCAATCTCTTGAGATAGTCAGAGATAATAAAGAAAGAAGACGCCACCACTGCAATTCTGTATTCTAAATGCCAACACCAGAAATGCGAAGCATCCCCTCCATCTATGAAATAACCACAAGTATACCAATTTAATCAACATAATCATGGTAAAGTTGTATAAATTTCAGAATGTTAACAAGAAAGAAGGAGAAGTAGATGTTATTTTTCTATCAAATTATGTACTAACGATCAACTACGGATCATTTCAATATTCAAATAAAAAAATATATCGAAATTGTAATACACAGTAGTACTGATGACATCGCAAGTGAAGGAAAGGGGTGCAGAAATGAACTATACTAAAAACCTCATCTAGAAAAGATTTCAACATAAATTTATGAAATGATATGCATGATGAATATACAGCAAGGATGTTTGCTAGTTCTCAACAAATTTAAAAAGTGCGTGTATTGTGTATACCAACCTGGACATTTCTTTCATTACCATGACATTACCATGACAATACATATATACGTATTATGGCTCAAAGAATTCGTCATTACTAAAAAATAGAAGACAGAGAGCAAAAACCAATTCATCCAAAGGCCAAAAAAGAACCACTGTAGAATATACAGGTCAATTAAAAATAAAAAAGATTTAAATACCGAACAATTTAAAACCGAAATATCAGATCAGTAAGGATAGTAGAAGAGATTAAATTAAGATAAACATTATCAAAAAAATCTGAAATAAAAATAAATGTCTTTTAGAATCAAAATATTAAATCAATAAGAATAGCGAAAGAGATTAAATATAAACATTATCTGAAAACATGAAATGATTTTCGAAAGAATACAGTACAAATTGAAAATTATTCCCTTCGCCTCGTTTTTATACGTGTTCCACTAGTATTTTCACTTTCATCAGTTGCATTGCTACTTACATCAGATGCACGCTTTCGATCTGATCGAGCACTCTGAAGAACACTATTTTTGCTTATATATAACCAATTTATTTTGAGATACCTAAAATTTAAAGGCTCGGTCACAAACAGTCATCACAAGAATGTGTGGAGGAAAATGAAAGTTTCAAATTTAACTTATTCAATTCCTATATTTTGGTAGCAGTTTCTCTGTTGTCACTACAAATCAAAAAACATTCTCATTATTTTAGAATACACGGGCAGCAAATTGAAAAGAGAATAGGATCATAATACTTGAAATTTCACGAATGAAGTACATGAATTGGAAGCATGTAATCTATAATAGATAAGCATATTATAGATAATTAGGTACGAACACCGGAAGTAGAGCGATGAAAGATCTCATATGATTCACTGATGATCAAAAAATTAAAGAGAGAGATGTAAACTTTACCGATGTTGAACAGGTTGGACTATTCCCCCAGTTTGACTGTAGATACCTTAACAAAAGCGGTTTCATATCAAAAATTATTCGTTTCTCATCATCCGATTGTTCAGAAATACGAGCCACCACTGGCTTCCCATTCTAAAACAGAAAAACAAATCATAGTATCAAAAAGCAGCCTTAAAACGGCGTAAGTTTAATTAATTACTAGAATCAAAATTTAAGTTACTTGATGGAAAAATGACAGGAAATGATTTCCCCAATAATTACTTTTCCTGAAAGGTGGAAAATAGCAGTAAGTGAAGCCAAAATACCAAAAAAAGCAGAAATACCAAAACCATTTTCATACTATCTCGACAACTGCTAAATATCACAATTATTCGTAATGCTTTAATAAATTTCAATCTGCATTACGAATTTCATGTTGTAGCACAAATTTTTCTTTAACTTCCTATTAATCAGTCAATAAACAATAACTTAGTTACCTGTTTCAAAAAAGATGAGAAATTTGCTTTGTCGCGCGATGGCAAATCCTTGAGAAAATTAGCAATAGACATTTCCTAAAAATGAGAAAATTAATAAATTATAGTAGTGGCAATACTTCGATTGATTTGTGATAAGTAAATTCGTAAGTGATAAATAAAATCCAACGCGCAATCGATGGAGTAGAAAATGATATTCCGTGATCAATAAAGATCACACATCAATATACAATAGCAGTTATATCGTGCCAAAATCTATTTCTGCTCTACAGTATTTGGTTTAACATGAAACAAGAAAAAACACAAGTGTAAATGCATATAACATGAAGGAATGAAATGAATTCTACGGTATCTTTGTCGCCTAGAAGCTATGATATTTCTGCTTAGAGCTATTCATTTTTTAGAAAATCTCGAAATTGCAAGAGTTGCAGTAACAAAGCATATCCTAAACTAAATATACTCCTAAAGTTCTATGATGAGAAAATCATGCAGTAATAGCTGGAAATTTTTCGACAGTTGAAAAAGTATACTGGAAAAGAAACCACAAAAAACGAACAAATTTGAATAAAAGTTTACTGAAAGCAAGACATGGTATAAAATTACGATATACCAGTAATAAAGCCACAGGTTCACAATGATGGCAATTTTCGTAAAATATATAAAACACAAATTCAATCGCTATTCTAATGAGTAAGGAGAGTTGTTTCCCTAACTTCACTAATTAAAAATAAGCGGAAGTCAACAATGAGCTCTGCTTCCATATATTTTCTTTGTATTAGTTTCGAGCCATTTCATATTATTTTTATCAAAGATAGTTGTCTGCGATCAGAGTAACTGTGGAATGTTTCAAACAAGTTGTGCTGAAGTATATTCCGAAATCGAAGTTTATAAAAGAAATAAAAACTAAAAATCAAATCAAATAACTTTCTTTTTCACTTTAAGAATTCTCAATTCAACGGTTAAGAGAAATCCATGTTATTGCCTATACAGCAATCAATCGATATTCTAAATTAGCGATCCTAATCAAAACTATTTGATTGATATGATTCTATGTCTCTGCATGTATTCAAAAAACTTGAAGAAATTTGCATTCGAAAGGCTATAATAATTCCAGTAAAATTCAGTTACTGTTGTTAATGTAAAACTCTTAAACGTTTACAAATGGCTCCACTATTTAGGTGCAAAATTAGAATAAACAATATGCAATTGCGCAAAAATATTGCATAAAAATCACAATAAGGACATCACCGAATACGGTCAAATGTCATCCACTGTTCTCAGTTTGATCCTGCCTTCCTCTCCAGGTTTGAAGGGCGGCAAGCCCCAGTATGGACAAGTTGAACAGCGAAACGCATCACCAAGACCACACTAAATTAAAACATAAAACTTTTAATTTACTCTAGATTTTCTAAACTTATTATCTTTCGATAGCTCCAATGTCAATCCTTGAAGTAAATATTATTTTATAATAGATAAGTAATATTATTTTGTTTATAATAGATAAGCCACTGCGGCATAACATAAATAATTAAAAACTAACATTCCCACATGATGACTTGCCAGCTTTTACTTGTGCTGTAACTTTTTCAGATTCCATCATCTCAACCAAGCCACAAGTGCAGTTTTTACATGGTCTTTTTTTCTTCACTTCATTAGAAGAGTCGAAATTTTCTAAAAATTTTAGAAAACAACAAGATATTACTCTATAGCCAAATATCTGATAAAAAACTTATATTCTACTTTTTGGCGTTGCCGTGATAGGTTTGGCATAATCTTCTTCCTGTAACAGTGTGTCTTCATCAATCAAATCATCATCAACCACATTTATGTTCCAAACATTCGATTTCTTATTTGAGGGAGGCAATTTCAGAGGCACTGTGGCACCCACATTGATATTTGGCTGAAAAATATCAGTATAAATAAAATTAAAAAAGCTAGTATTTCTATTATTAAAAAGTAAAAGAACTGCTAATGGAGGAGACAATAACGTTAAAAAAAATTCCACAGAAAGTGCTAATAATTATATAACGTATGATTTGTATGTTTTAAAACACGGTGATACGTAACACGATTCGAGCACTTGTAATATGGAAAATTAAGTTGATGAAAAAGGATTCCAACATCAAAACAGAAAACGCCCTTAATAAACGGGATAGATATTAAACGGGTTGACAAAAATTTGTTGAAAAAATAAAGTTTTGTAAGCAAGTCAAATTTTATTTTCAATAACTGTAAAGAAAACCTTTTCGCAATCATATGCTTTCCATACGCCATTACAAACTTTCATGGTATGGAGAAATCCAGCTAGCTTAATTTCTTGCAAAATTTTTGCTTCATTATCGTCTAAAAAGTTTAAGACTGAGAATACGTCACACCGGTGGAAAATAAAAAAAATAAGTGATACGAATCTGTTGAATTACAACCAAACTCTGTATTACAAGACTTACACCGCACAATTACTCTCACTGCAGAATTAGGCTTCGCTGCTATAAAAGCCAATCGAAGTAAGCGCTCAAGTGCAGCAAATGTAACAATGATAACAGCATCATATATTTCCTTTTTGATAGCTACCTCTAAAAAAATTAATACGACATCACTGAACGATAAATTTGAAATTATTTCATTTATATAATATACTGACACTAATTTTAATCCAAAATTTTTAGTCAAGTTCGATCTGAAATTTTTAAGCGAAAAGATATACTTGAATATTTTTAATTTCAAATCTCATTTGACTTAAAATAATTTTAACAAAAATGGCACACAACGAAACCACATTATTGGCGTTTTTTGATAAAGATTATTTAACTTTTACATCCTTTATTCCGCTGAAGCATTCCATTACCTGCTACGATTTCAGTAATTCGAGTACGTTTTAAATTTGAAATACTAATGATAATTAGAAGTAGAGAGCAAAGGATGCACTGCAAAACAGTACAAAAAGAACAACATGAATTCAAAAGTATATAGGAATCAAGATAGAGTAAAGATGAAAGTAAATGATAGCAAATGACTGACCAATCTGCTTGTCTTTTGGAGCAAAAACAATTAGTTTATTAAATCGCGCCTTCAGTTGTTCTATGCTCATACTGAAATTATCGGGTATCTCTGAAAAGAAAGGACATATAATATATTTAAACATGCAGTAAGGTAAATGATTTACTGAATCAGCCATACTTTAAAAAGTTACAATCTACAATTTCGCACTACATCCTGACCATGAAGAGATTTAAAATTTTTGGAAATGTATATCAGAGTATCTTCGATTTCTTTTGGCAAAAGCACAAATTTTCTTTCTCTAGCGTTTAAATAGACATTGTGTCTTTCTAGACATGCTACAACAGTAAAATTTTGCAGTTGTGTACTAATGTAAGAATATACTGGAAAATGAGTTTCTAAATCTCTGTAACTTTTTTTGAGACATTTAATTCTTTATGCAAGTTCCGCTTTCCTATAACTTTTCTACATATTATCCAGGTGAATTGAAAGTTTAAAATCTCTCCAGTTTAAGCTGGTTCCTGCCGCAAGGTGGTGATGAAAACACTAGCATGCAGCCTCACAACGTTTCAGAAAAATTTAAGTTGGGAAAGTTAATTATAATGATTCTTGTCATCATGTCAATATTGCTTAGATGTGTGGGTGACATAATGTCGAGATGTACAATGCACGATTCAGATTTCGAGTGGAGAAAAGAACATGCATAAGAATATGCAAGATATAATATTGTTAATCTAGTTTTAAAACATCAGAAATAGATATCTGTTATCATCTATACCTTTACCACAGATGAGTCGAAAGAAAATGTCTTATCTCAATTAATAAAATTTATAAGGAACAGTCATCTCTGATAAAAGAAACACCAACCTTTTATATTTGCTTCATGAAGGAGCAGGATTTTTGAATTCGAATCAGCTGTACTGATGAAACGGCTCAAATCCATCTGAAGAACGTCAACAACTGTTAGGGGATAATTCAAACAATATCGAAAGTGATAAACAGCTGATAAGAGGGATTCCGAAATTACTGCTAATTTCAATTCTCGATCTGCATAAACAGGAAGTTTAAAATTCAGGCAACATTATGTTATAATCTTCAATACGTAGGGTGCCAACTATACCACTGTTAGTGAAACTACAGTGGAAAATGAAATGGTTTAAAAATATTTATGCAAAAAAAACAAAATCTGAATGGGGAAAGATTATAACGATTCATAACTTGAATAATTCCAGGAGCCGGACATAACTATTATAAATATCCAACACAATAGTTGCAATAAAATTAAGATGTATAAAAACCGAAGCTGAATACTAAAAATGATTGAAGAAAACACAAAATTACTGAAAGAAGAGCTATTCGTTGCCGAGTATCACTTGTCGGCAAAAGGAAAGGGACAAGCAAAGACTGAGAGAAAAGACTGCACTTTACCTAAATGACAAAACAACAATATCTTCAAGTTTACAAAAAATTCAAATAAATGATAAGTATAAGGAACAAATTGAAAACAACAGTCTCGTAGAAAGCTCTGTAGAAAAAAAAATTTCTTTGGTTTTAAAAAAATTTTGAGATATGGATAGACGAATCAGCAATTGGAATAAAAATTCAATTAACCCATAGATCAAATTTCACAAAAATATTTTTAAAAAACATTTCTTTTACGTTAAGAAAACAGAGGCAGAAAATGTGTGCAATTCACAAATGTATTAAACTATAAAATCGATATTAAACTATAAATCCATAAAAAATCTTTCCCAAGTCATTTAAATATAATTCCTGATTTCCTGATGGACTATGAGTTGATTATTAAATCTGATTTTAATAAAGTTCTCACAAAGAGTTAAGAAGTGTCGGAAGTGAGAATTGTCGGAAAACTTATTTCCTAATGGACAATATTTCAAATCAAACAATTAAGGTTATTAGAAAAAAATAAAGAAATGAAAAATTCCAGAACTTCTAGAAACTTTCAGCAGTATCCTACGCATCTTCTAATTCCTTATCAATGTATTCACCACCAATTACTTGTTTCCCATCTCTATCATTACCATTCTCTACATTCTTTTTCATCTGGTCTTTCTTGTGAATGAAGGGTAACTGCTCGTTCATGCGCAAAACATTATCAAGATTCAGCTGGAGCTCTGAAACAATGTTTTTGTTGCTTTTTTAAAAATTTTAGTTTCACAGAAAGGAAATAAAAGTGTAAATCAAAATAGTACATTTCTTGGTGCCATACAATAATCAATATAGGATGTGAAAAGCAGTTCCTTCTGGTTATATTTGTAAAACTTTGAAAAAAGAACCAGGAATATTTGGGAGCCTTAGATTCTCCGCAGTTTTGGCCTCAAGTGATTGTTTTTCTAATTGCAGAGGTGAGGCAAGAAAATTGAGTTGGTCATTTTGAGCTGCATTTCCTGAAACTCAATCTCTATGAAATTCAAAATTCAATTCAAAAATATTTTAAAGACACTTCGGTAGCTGGAAAATAATCTGATTTTTTTTTATAATTGCAATTTTAAAATTCGAGGTGAATCCAATTATAGTTTGCGTTGTAATTCTCAAACTTTAAAAAAGGAAGAAGTGAAATATCATTTAATAAATGGCCAGGAATCACAACGACGGAATTGGTAATAAAGATATAAATATTACAACATGACTCACGTGGGACTGGAATGATTGTAGGAGCATGAAGGTTATTGCTGGACTTCGTTACCGTGACAACAATGTGTTCCGGAGCTCTGAGTGCAACAGACTCCGGCAAGACGACTTCTTGTTGGAACAACTGAAATCATTTATTAATCAGAATCATGAGAAAAGGCAATTATTTTATTAATGTATTATATCTCTACAATTTACCAAATGAAAATTTTATAAGACATACTTCTTATTTTGCGAAAATCCTCGAAGAACAGTGTTTGAAATTCAACGCGTATGTCGTAAAATTTTTCGAAAATTTACAAGCAAAAAAAAATTCACATTTGTTGCGGAAGCATTAAGAGATGGATTATGCTCAATTTTGTTTGTCAGCTTTTCATTTTGAATCGAGGTATTTTTGCGACTCTCTAGTTCATTAGCATCTTGAGTTACCGCCAATGGTGAGGCAGCTAAATTGGTCTGGGAAATGCTTTCTTGTGCATCTTTTCCTTGCAATCGCGTTTTTAAACTGAATTAAACTGAGGAACAGAACTCACAGGAATAAAATGAATTAAAAATAGTAAATTTTCATTTCGCAAATCACAGTTATATTTATAGATCTCTAGAACTTAGTTTTTATGCGCTTAAATCATTCGTTGTCCAATTCTAACTCTTCAGTATTTGAGAGCAAGAATCCTACCATAACCATTATTCAAAACGATTCAAAATCACAAATTTATACAAAGTTGATTCAAAAAAATGAAGGAAGAAAGAAACACCTTTCAATAATTTTCTTCGGTGCTTCCATCTCACTTCCCATCGACTTAGAGTTGGCTTGCAGATTAGTCAGTGTTAGTTTTGCTAGCGCCTAAGTTTTGGCAAGTGTTATTTTAAGACAAACAATTTATAATTTTCATGTTTTTATTTTCAAAATTAATAGCTGTCAAATTAAATAAATAAATGTAACGTTTGATGAGTGGCAACTTGAGTCTCTCCCGAGAGACATGTACACATGTAGTGTGCAGCATCATTAAGGCACAGCACCAGAACTTTCCATGATTATCTAAGAATTAGCGACATACCAATTCAGCTTTCATTGAATCCAACGCGGTGAAACATGCGCTGAAAAACTGAATAAATTAAAAGATGCCAAATCATGAAGCCTAACAAAGAGAGTTTCGTATTTAACAGCATCTAGCAAAACTGATAGTTTTGCTCAAGACCGGCAAAACGTATACTATGGAGTTCAAGATAGTAGGAAAACTTTTTTTTTCTAACCAATAAATATATTTAGTAACCAACAAATTAATCAGCGTATGAATTGAGAGGAGCAAATCAAGAATTAGCATCTTCAGATATTTTCAAGCAGCTGTATTTAACGACTTCTCTCTGGTGAGAAGTTCTGCATTAGTAGATCTATACCTCAATTTTCACTAAGATGGAACAACTTTAACTAATCAGTCATAAAACTATTCTACTAAAACTATTATCAAATCAGCTGTAAAACTATATTTTTTATAGAACTGAGCAAAAACTAGGAGGAAAAACAAACTTCTTGTCGCTCTGAAGATGTTTTAAATTTATCTGGTTGGATAACAAATTATTATCCCATTCCGCCAATTTTTCACTGCATTCTATAAAAGATCAGTCCATCAAAATATTGTAGTCTATGCAAAATAACATTGTTTTGAAAGTACAAATTCAAAAAACAAAACAAATTCTCAAATATTATAAATTAGAGAAATTATTTAAAAATTAGAAACATTATTTGTCAAATTTGCGCCTATTTTTTCCATTTCCAGCCAAAAACTTTTAACTTCGTTAGGTAAAAATAACAGATGTTTGGAATACCCTTTTGATTCAAACGCACAGATTGCAACTCATTTTTCAAACTAGCTTCCGAGCTTTTATAATTTTCCAACTGAGCCTTAAAATCTGAAAATATGAAACACTGATGAATATTTGTTTCGAAATCGAAAATCAAAATCAAAACGATGTGTATAAATTCTTATTTATCAAAAAATAACTACACATTCAAATGCTATTCAGCACTTGAAAGCAACAAAAGAGTATGTTCTATAGTATGATTGGATAATTTAAAATAAAATGCTGAAATCTAACATGCTAAATTATTGAAAATATGTGATATGACACATTAATTTGTACTAACTAATGTTCTCCGATTTTGTTTTAATATAGCGACTCTTTTCAAGTTCAATCTGATTGCGTATCTCGTACAGTTCCGCCCTCTGAGCTTGATAAATGTTGAAAATGAAGAAGAAAAACAGAAGACCAATTAAGAAACCGAATAATGGTAAATTCCGGAATATAGGCCCACCACCGCTTGCTGTAACCGGTCTGAAAATTTTGAAATATAGATCTTTCTTGAAATTATTCATTTAAGTCCTCAAAAGTTTCAATAACCGCTGAATGAAAAATGATCAATTTGAAATGCTATCATTTTTTGTTTAATATCATTTCATAGTTTGCCATTTTGGTGTGTGGACACTGTCAGGTTTCTTTTCATAGACAAGTGCTCAGAGAAGGGAAAATATTTAATAAAGGGACTATCAGCAATTAAATAAAACCATATATAGGCCATCGATAAAGATATATTTATGCGCATGAAATCACGAGACTCACCTCAGCAATCCACGCCTTTGTCCACTATGTTCTGAATACATTTTGTTATCTTGCGGCTTCTGGCTGCGTAACTCGTACAATCACTATAAAAGACAAGTTTAAAATTTTGATATCACTGTACTTATTCACCTCGTCGTTGACAGCAGCATTCAGCAAATTTACGCTTAACAAAAACTAGGCCTGAAAATGCACTTGACTAAAGAATTATCGATGTTTTCTGAAATGGACTTTCTATAAATCTATGGTTATTTATTGCGGATTCAAAATTTCAAGTCTTCGACTTACTGGAACATCAGTAGCAAAAAATCTTACCATTCTCCTACTAGCATCCTTTTCATTTAGTTACGCAATGAATTATAGTCATCAAAAAATAACGAAAAGTTAGACAACATTGATAATGAAGCTGCTATGTGGAATATGTAAGCGACATAAGATGAACAAGGTATCTTCAACTTCATCAAATGAACAAATACTACCTTTACATCTGAGAGAATAGCTTAAGCTCGATGATGAAGTAAGTTCCAAAAGATCACATGCTGTTGCTATCGTTATCTTATCAGTGTCTTATTTCACTATCATCATCGTTATCGTGATCACCATCGTAGCTGTTGTTATCATATCATTATAACTAAACGTGTCATTTGCATAGCCTTAACATTTTCGTGGATGGTAGAACCAAACCCAAAATTAGGGTCTATGAATTAATGAGACCTTCTATAGCTTTCTGAATGCTGTCAATATCAAATGTTATTAATCACTATGGAACTAAGATATCAACCAAATTATTAAATTGAACGACTTTATTATAATTAAGGAGAGTGAATGTCATGCAGATAAATCAACTAAGAAGAGAGAATGGTAATATCAAATAATGCAAATAAAACTAAATGATAATAAAATTAGTTCATGTTTAGATCTATTAGGTGACCTCATCAAAGAGAGAAGTAATCTGCAAATGAAAGTCTGCTGAGAGCAACGATAACTACGTTCGAAGTGATCAGAAATAGCAAACAATGATAATTATCACCAGTCAATTACTAATCATAACAACCGTCCCTCTGCATGGAATGTAAAACGAAATGAGAGCGCGAAATAAAATCACAATGAACTGTAAATATTTAACGAGCCGCTGGCAAAAATGTCCTCCATTGAGTGGTGGCAAAAGTGTCCACCAGTGTTATCGGCGATCCGGTCAGTAACGGTCATTCATTGCCCTTTTCTTGCTTCTGTCTTTCTGTATGTCTCTCTCATTAGAACGTTCCATTACTAGCACTATTATTGATTATTCGCATATCATACTAACGTGGCTGTAGAGAAAGCGTTCAGATTTCATTTGCGTTAGTCGACATTTAATTAATTTTTTAACTGATATCTTTAATCAGTTACTGGATATGACAAATAATGTTGTCATCAACAAGAAAGTGCGATGAATAATATAACCTCGTCATAATGGTTGAAGTGCAATAGTTGTTTCTAGCATCAATGCCCTGCCATGACTTGTCATTGTTGTTCCTATTATCATTATCATCATTGCTCTCGTCATCGTAGTTACACTTTCTATCATAATCGGCACCAATTTCTTATCATAGCTATTTCTCTCCTTTCTTTGCGTGGTCACATAATGACTTGAGTTAAAATTTTGGGGCCTAACTGCTCGGTTTGAGACTCTGAATCGATGAAACATTTGCTCAAAGCGCAAATATATGTGGATAAAGAAGTGGAATAGAGTTAACCATTGAAGTTTTGCAATTGTTTTTTGTCTATCCGAATAACGTCAAAATTTTTTTGCGACTTTTACATTGCATCAACTGTTCCTGTCCCACTGGATATGGTTGTTTTTTTTTTCATAACATTCGAAATCTCAAATTTTGGACATTCGTGATCGTTCTTTATTATTTTTCTTCATTGTTAGTCATCTTAGATGTTTTGAACTTTTCGTTTTCGCGTTTCGTACTTCTTGTATTATAGATTAATTATACTCGTGTGCAAAATTTCAGGTAATTAGTTATTGTTCTCTTATCCACAACTCCGCTTGTGAAATCTTCAATAATTTTGTATGCCTTATTTAATTTATTTTTTATGCGTAGCTCTTTCCACTCCCCACTATGTATGACAGTTTTTGAGATTTGCTATAGCTATTGATAAAATGACCACTAATTTTGTATATCCTGACACTGACTAATTGATTTCTTTAATAAAAGTTGTGCGCAACCGTAGGCCCGTGTTAATAATGTTAAGTCTTTTATCTGTGAGCTCTTTGCTAAAATAATTTTATTTGTTAGTATTTTTCTGTTTTTAAAATGGCTATGTGTTATTTTTCCATCATTATCGTTTTCATAACATCTAAAGTTACAGGTAGACTATTGCATTTGTTGACAGAAGATTGCTTGTAAGATGGATTCAAGTATTCGAGAGACGTCTGCACGAGCAATAGCAACTGATTTTCTTACTCGTTTAAGGAAAAAAGGGGGTGATGAAAATCGGTTTAAAGTTGCCAGACAGCTTTATAAGTAAGGAACTTATCCTATTCTGTTTTGGAATTTTTGCTATAGAACTGACTTGAATCATTTCATAAATGTATCAAATAAAAGTTCTAAATCTTGAGCTAAAGTATGAAAGTCAGATTTTTTTTTGCTTTTCTTTTACGTGAAAGGTAGGTTCTTTTGAATAAGGATAATACATCAGTCAAGTGTTCCAAATAATCTAATTCTAGGAATATATAAACCCTTAGCCAAGAAATTGAAAAGAACGGATAGATAATTTGTTTATCAAATCAAACTTTTGCAGCTATATAAATGGAGAATTACGTGATAACAGTGATCAATTTATAGCGGAATTTTTTGCAATATTCGATGCAAAAGTTGATCAGGTTGGAAGCACTTGTTAACTTTTAATTCACATTTCTCAAAACATTGGTATTGTATTTTTAAATCATCAACATTTTTCGTAGATTGTGTAACATCTGGATACTGTCAGAAGTTGACTTTTTTGTGAAACGAATTATTTCCATCAAAAAGTTCATCTGTTTATATTGTAATTGAATTTTGTTATTTGGTTGAAATTACAGTAAATTTTTTCAAATTTACTCTTTATTGTTAATAACTACATTCGTTCTTATAGGCACATTAGTCAATACTGAATCATCTGCAGTAAAATTGAAAGGGATATTTTGTTCAATTATTGAAAGGGATATTGTGGGATATTTTGTTTAATTAGTCAAGCGTACACTATAAAAAAATGTCTGATGCTTCCATTTTTTGTACATCTAATGAAGTCATAGATGCCTTCTTATTTATTTTAGGTAAGTATAAATGAAACACAAATCTATGGGACTTATTTTTCATATATTTTCAGAGTGCTATACATACGTTGATGACAAGTTTGGATAATGATGAAAGAAAGGCAGGAGTAATTTTGATAGGTATTTGATATTTTGGTAATTTTGATAGATATTTAATAATTATTCAATTTTTATTAATTTTAACAAGTTCACTTCGAATACATTATGTTCTCTATAACACCGGGTAGTATGAAAACATTTCAGCCTGTTTGGTGGAAAATGCTGGTGATGAGACGAAACGTGTGCCACGTTTTGCAAAGTATCTTTTGAAAGCATTAGTGCAGGGCGATGAAGTGGGCATGAAACTTGTTGCCAGGGCAATTGCGTACTTGATTCAGACATCAAAGACATTCGCTGCTGAACTGGTAGAAAAATCCATTAACCAGGTACGGTTTTCCTTTTGTTCATAGCTCAGCTTCCTGTGCTATTGATTTCAGCTTTTTGGTTACTAGAGGGATGTATCGGTTGTTTTCAAGATATTAATATGTTTACAACAGTTAGAAATGTGTCTCTGATGTTTCCAGCTCATCTTATAAAATATTTGCAGGCTAGATATTAAAATTAATTACATTATATTAGTAAATATTGAAACATTGAAAACTTGATAGGTATGTGAGTGGCTCGAAGAATCCGAACGACATGAATCACGTCGTCTTGCTGCAGTTTTTCTGGCGAGACAGTTGGCCTTATATACGTCAACATCATTCTTTTTACGTGCATCTAATTTCTTTTCCAATATTTTCAAAGTCATCAGAGATCCTAAGGTTTGAAAAAAAGTTCCCAAATTTTTCTTGGTTAATTAGATTTTTGAAAAAATTGAAAAAAAAAACTGATGGTTTTCTGCAGTTTGTAGTTCTGCAGTCTATTTTACTAAGGTAAAGTACTTAATTAGATTCCTTATTTAAAGTATTTTATTTTAGCAATATGTTCCATTCCAAGATTATTAGTCTATGTAGGATTAAGATACATTTTTGATTAATATTTCCTTCATAATGTCAGGTTAGCGTTTTGTTGATGCTTTCTCCTTAATGTTAGGTTAGCACGTTTTAGGCCACGGTACGAATTGCGGCTACTAAGGCCTTGCATGCTGCTCTTACAGTCACATCGCAACGTGAAACACGTCAGAAATCTGAATGGTATTGGGTAAGTTATTTCAAATTTTAGCTTGCATTTTATATTTAAATGCTGGACACCACCCATTGTTTTGAAGGGCTGTTATCTACCAACTCTGACTAATTAAATAAAGCTACTCATTGTATTCCCACGGAATAGTTGTTGAATACGAAGCTAAATTGAAGATATTACTATCATAATTATAGTCCATTTTAATTCTACTTAGATGTTAGATATGGCTGTGGTTGATTACTGGGATGTGATTGGTTCCATATAATCGATTCGATCGGGGAAGAGTGAAGATTTTTCCAAATATAGTAATGATTTCTGAAGTCTTCGTGCAATTTTCAGAATTATTCTATGGTGTTAATAAGGTATTAATTTTGAACACTACTGTTTTATAGCATTGTTACGATGAAGCAATGAATTCATTGAAGTTTGATGGTTTGAATCGAGACGAAAGACAGCATCCAATGCTTTTGATATTGAATGAATTACTTCGAATTGGTAATGCACCGGCTGAGCGTCAACGTATTCTGGCACTTGGCCGTCAACCGCAGCAGAATGTTCGAACAGTAATTGGATCAAATGCAATAGATTGGTTGACGGAGCGTACATATTCAGTTACTGTTGATAGTAGAACTGCTAATCAGCTTGTTGCTGAAAAATTTAGTGATGTTAGTACTATAATTTAGTTATTCTTTCATTAATGATTGTAGCAAATTAAATTCATTTTTGGGATTTTAAATTAAGGCTAAGGAAAAATATTGCAGAATTTAATTAAAATTCTACTGGCTTATTCAGGATGATTTCTCTGCAAATGCTTTATTTATCTGTAGAATAGCTATTGAAAAAAGTTTTTTCGCAGGCGGAGATCTATAATATTATGAGGAATATAAAATAAGAATTTAATCTTTAAATTGCTCGATCGTCACTGAAAAATAATTGTCTTGTGTTGTACACATGAGTAAATGAATGGTTTAAAGAAAATTATTATCTTGCAAAAGTTTTGCCTTTTTATTTTAGTAGCTTCACTTTTCAGATATATCGAGTGTGCAATCTCGCGTGTACCTCACGTTATGTTTGTTGCCAAACAACGTTGCTTGAAATTTTTCCACGTCTTTCGTCATTTGAGAAAACGCAAATGGTTACTTCGAGTGAGACAGATATTTTCAATGTTGATATAACTTCAATATTTAATCATGCATTAAATTTGACTGCAAAACATTCACCTGCTTTTTTTACTCTTGGTCTTTTGGTACTTGATCGGCCGACAGAACTACTTTCAAAATTGCCTCGCCTTTTCGCTGTCATACAAATTCAGTTGCAGACTGCAACGTACAAGTTAGTTTTATTCTTTCATCATTAATTATTTTGTCTTGTGAGCACCAATGTCATCGTTTATATTTTGAAGACATTGAAATAAAATATGGCTGAGTAGACTGAATCTTTTCTTGATTTTTCTTGTGGTCTTTCATTTTTTTTTATTAAATTGTTTTTTTATTATTTCATCAGCAGTTAAACTTTTCGAAAATTTTTCTCCATTCACTGTTATCTTGTATTATGATCTTAAAGTAATTAAAATTGTGTTTATATGAATTTGCTTGTTATTTTTCCAGGCATAAACCAGTGGATGAATATGTCTTCTTGTGTTTAACGTTGATTATTCGCGCGTTGAAAGAAAAAGTGGAATCGGAAATTAAAACACTACTTCCGATTCTGCTGTCGACAGGTTTATCAAAAGGTATTGCTTCAATTTCATTCGAAATTAATACGATTGGTCTACAACATGGTTTTGATCTTTAAAAAAGCATTTTCTCCATTAACGGCTTCATTAGTCTAATTATCATATTAAATTTAGGAATTTTTCACAATATGTAAATCTTGAAAGTATTTTATGGGGAATGAAATTTGAATATTCATAATGTACTTTTGTGAAAATCTGCGGAAAGGTAGGTTTAGCAAGGTGGATAACATATGTCTTTCGTCTAAAGAAAAAGAGATGGAGAAAAAAAATTGATTTGCTTTGATCGGTAAAAAAATTGTGACCCAGTCATTTGATTTCTTTTAATTCTCGTCTTTCTTTTCCTAAAAATTACTTTGTGGTTTTCCTTTCAGGATTAACGGACGTTGCTTATGAAATAATGCAATCCATATCTGGATTGAAAACAGAAGCACAGGATGGTTTGTTGAAAGAGCTTTGTCAGCTGTTGATGAACCGCAAGTTACCTAATAAACTTGATCCACCGACGGAACCACTCATGCCAGCCGGTCCTGTGAATGTTACTAATGTGGCGCTTACAAATCTTGCATTAGCTACACTTGGTCGTTTCGAATTTCAGCGGCATGCTCTTCAAATGTTCATCAATTATATAGCTCATGTAAGAATTGATCGATCTAATCATTCAATCCTGACCATCAGTTTTCAAGAACTGTTAGAAATCATTTTTTGACTGCTAGCTAAAATGAAGAGTTATGATCTCTTTTGATGGATCAAGAAACAATAACAAATAAGTAATGAAGTATTAGAAATGAAGTAGAAGCAAATGAATGAAGTTCAGAATGTTGATAAATTTTCAGGGTTACTTGTCGTCTGACTGCGCAGAAGTACGTCTAGCTGCAGTAGATTGCTGTGTTAAAATGTTGACTCCCTTTGTTCGTGTATTTGAATCATTTGAATGTGCTAATAAAAAGCAGCGTTTCGACGTCTTAAATTTGATCCAGTCTGTACTCCGACAACTTGTTATAGTTGCTGTTGTCGATCCTTGTGAGTTTTTCTCACAATTCTTTGACAAAATGCATTTTTTGGGAGTGTGACTATTGAAAGTTTTAGAAAATTAAATAATAAGTAAAAAGGCAGTACTCTGTGTAAAACGATTTTCAATTTCTAGAACGTTTAGTTACAAAAAATTTTTTGAACAGTTCTAGATTTATCCAGTTAGAAAATTAATTGTCTACTTCAACGAATGAATGACTCAAGTTTAAAGTAGTATATCACTAATAATTGAAGTCAGTTTTGATATTAAAATATTTGATTAGGAAATATTGTCTGTTGATGATCTTGTGTATGGCCTGAAAAAGCGATATATTGGCAGTATATTTAACAATATAAAATTAATGTATTTAATATATATGGAATAATCCTCTTATTGTGTTTAATCGCTACTAACAATGATTTCAGATACATAGCTAATTTGCATATATTAGAAATTGGGTGATTGAATTTGTTTTTTACTTTTCTTCATTTTTTCCTGCGATGTTCCATTGCTTTTTAGCCGTGGAAGTACGCTTGAGAGTTCTACAGTGTTTCAAAGATGGAGATCCACTTCTGTTATCGCATTTAGCGCAAGCTGATATGCTTGACTCTATTTTCATGACTTTGCATGATGAAAAATTAGAAATGCAGGAACATGCGGTAGCCTTGCTCGGAAAACTGGGCAGTTTGAATCCTGCATATGTTTTGCCTAGTTTACGTAATGTTCTGTTGGAAACACTTACCCAGTTAACGAACAGTGGCGTGCCGAGGTTTGTTTATTACATCCACTGCCTCCTGAACTTGTAACACTCATGAAATTTATTGTAGATTTTTTTTCTGAAAAATAAACTGATTATTGCTTCCTGCACATATATCAAAACATGTTGGAACTTCAAATAAGGATAGGAAATGCAATATAGAAAAATGTAAATTCGTAAGTTTTGTTTCATTTTTTGAAACAAAGAAAGCTATAAGAATTTCAGACTCGAAGAACATAGTGCTCGTGTGATAGCACAAGTGGCTAAGCAGTCTCCGAAATTTGCAAGGCCATATATGAATCCAATATTGACGGCTTTAGTACCAAAATTGAGCTCCGAAATCAGTCATGTCGATGTGACTGTGCAGGTTCGATGGTTTGCTTGTTGCACTTGTTTTGAAGTTTATAAATGAATTTGGAATTTTGAATAATAATGTGCGAGTACACTTATAGGTATTGAATGCTATAAGTGAGCTGGCAGCTGCAGGTGGTGCTGATTTGGTATTTTCAGTAGAAACGCTCTTTCCTTTGTTGGTGCAATTTTTGCAAGATTCAAGCAGTTTAAGCCGCAGAGAAGTCCTTAATTTCTTGACCATTTCAAGTGGTATTTCCAAGTTTTTATTTTTATTTTTAATGCCTTCACAAATCCTATTCACAGGCTGCTTTGCGTACGATGGGGCAGCTTTGCCAAAACACTGCATATGTTGTTGATCCATATAAGGAGCATCCTGAATTACTTGATGTATTATTGAGGTTATTACGAACGGAGATGAGTGTTTCGATGCGTCGAATGACCATGCGGGTGACCTTTTTATTCAAAATTTTGTGATTGCTTGGAATTTATAGGTTTTTGCGGGTAAATATTTGAACCATTTTCTTATCATTTTCAGGTCTTGGGTATTATTGGAGCCTTAGATCCATATACGCACAAAGTTTTCACTGGAAAAGTTTCTTCTCAGAAATCGAATTCGTTAGCTCTGTCGTTACCAGCTACATCATCATCTTCGGATATGCGGAATGGTGTCTTTTTATTCACTTTTAATATGAAATTTAATCACTGGAATTTCGAACGGCAATGAATGAAGCATATGTTACTGACGTCACAAAATTCATATCACAGTATTTATCATGCAACTATATTCTAATCAAAAAATGTACTACATTGAATGATCCAAAATTCTAATAGTTTGAGACTGTGCATATGTTCTGGATCGCTTTGGAATTCCGAAATTCTCTCCTTTTTTAGATACCATTCAATGGTTTCATTACGAAAAGTGTACATTGGCAGAACTCTATCCGGCATTTTCCATTGCAAGTTTAATGCAGATGCTGAAAGATGATGCACTGAGTCATTTGCATCGTGATATCACCCAGGCATTGCTGACTATATTCGGCAGCCTTGGTCCCAGTTGCACTCTCTATGTTAACAAGGTTACGCAAGCTTATACCCTTTTTTGATGCTATTTTTGTTAAATTTCATTCGGTGATTTTTTTAATATTTGTTTTCAACGAAAAATAAATAGATATCAAATACTCCCTATCTTATATTTTTTTTCTATTCAGAAGTCATTTTCAAAAAAAAAAACGCCTTAAATAATCTTGTAGGTTATACCTCGTCTGATAGAAGTAATTCAAACAGCTACTCGACCTGATTTGAAGCAGTTTTACTTGCAACAGTTGGCTAATTTTATAGCGATAGTTGGCGGCAGCATGAAACCGTTCATGTCAAAATTGTTTAGCTTGATCAGGGTAAGTGCACTATCATTGATGGTTCAGAATTTGTTATAATATTTAAAAATTCATGAATAAAAGAGACTGAAAAAGAAATATTAAAGGAAGCATGGTCAGAAGATGTAAGTATGCGGCTTACTATTGTTAATGTCATGCAGCAAATTGGCGCAGCATTTGGTGCATCATTTGCACCATATATTCCTGAATTATGTCCATATCTTCTTAGTATCGTCCAGTCAGATCGTACGAAGGATAGAGCCATCACATGCGCTGTAAGTTGATTTACTTTTTATCATGAATTGTCAGTGACGATTTTGATTTGTTTTGATTTCCACATGTTTCTATGGCAGTGTTTATCTAACTGTATGACATTAGCTCCTAATCATTGTTATACAATTTTCACATTTCACCTAAAACACAAAAATACATTCGGAATTTGAAGTTATTGTTACATTGAGATTATTTAATGGCTACTTATTTGATCCATGAAAGCATTTTCAACCAACTGCTTGATATATTATATTTCAACACTATATTTACTGTCGTAATGTGACGATATTATGCGAAAGAAATAAATGCGAAGAAGAGTAGATTTTTCTGTATTTATTAATTCATAAAATATTTCAACTTTCTAAGGAATAAAAGAGATAAGATGAATCATTTCTATTCAATTCTTACTCCGTAGCACATTTTCATATTCTATTCTCGGACGGTGAAACAGATAGACATCGGATTTTTCTGGAGTGAAGAAGCAAGAGCTAAGTTCGCCGATTAGTTTTTACTTGCTTGAGTTCTGCAAAAGAATTACCTGTGGCTGTTCAGTCATTGAGAAATACGCCTTAACGGGCAGCTTGAATTTTTTTTCGTTTTAAAACTTCTAAGTTTAAATGAGAAAAATGGACGGAAGGACATCACCGGGATTGGAATATCTACGCTTTCACCCGGAGCTTAACAGAGCATAGAGCAAGAAACATTGAACATTGGTCTTCTTTTCGAATTTTTTAAATTAATCATTTTGTTATGAAATTATAATTTAACTTTTATACATAGGTATTCACATGCGTTCAGTCAATATCGATGTGTCTGGCACCACATATTCATCTTGTTTTACCGCCCATTTTGTTCGTTCTCGATGATCGAAATGTCAAGGTTGAGGTACGACAAATTGCTTTGGACACAGTTTATCAGATTGCTGAAACTATTTGTATTCGTGACCATGCACCGAGAATAATGCAAGTTTGGTTGCGAGTTATTTCTGTTCACGCATTACAACAGAATTTGCTGCTTTTATTGGTTGTTATTGTTCAACAGGTCAATATTTCTTGTTTTTGGATTGAAAGTTTCGGGTAGTTCGTGTTATGTTTATTGACACCTTATTCATATATGAGCTTATGCTTGTTATAACCTGCTTTAACACTTGGTCTATAATCTTATATTTCTTGTTAATATTTCAACGTTACTTCTCAGGCTTTCATTGCAGATGTGGAGACAGTTTTTGGTTTTTCGTAAAAGTGTTGACTGTGCTCTAGTTCGATATGGCTTGCATTGCGATGAATATTTAAAGTAAGTATATGTTTACTTAAACAAAATTATCAGAACAAATTAAGTCAACCGACTTAAATTTCGTCATTAAAAAAAAGGAGTGTTTTGATGATTAGTCAACTGCTGGACGGTGTTGATTGGATTCAGTTTCTCAAAGCTCAACTTTTTTTTTCAAAAAGAAACAGTAGTTTGTTAAAAAAATCAAGCTTAGTTGTATCAAAATGACAAGAAATGAATAGCCATTTTAGGCTTATCGTACTACTTGATGAGGGAAGTACTGCATCTCCTTCACATTCTCCTGTTATCAAAGTTTCATCCAGTCAAGTAAAGCAGTTTATTGCGTCTGCTCGTCATGAAAAAGGACAACGAATTAATTTTGATGTTTTGAAGAGAACTTGGACTACTACGCAACTTGTGTCCAAGGAGGTACATTTTATTTTATTTTTAAACGCAGGATGAAGATGATTTTTAGTAGTTTCATTTCATTCGTAGTAGCTAAACACAAGGGACGCATTAATGTGCATATTGTTTCTGATCTTGTCGTCAAAAAGGCATAGAACTTTCAACACTTCTAGACTTGGATAATTATGCTAAATAAAAACGACAAAAATCTATTTTTTATTTGTGCTGCTTTATGTGCATTATTTTTTAAAGGACAGCTTTTTATATGGGTACGAATGTTTATATGTATTATTACTTTAATTCATTTTACTTATTTCCTACGGTTTTTCACAGATCTCTTTATGAAGTCCGAATAAATTCATATGTTTAGTTAATTTTTGAATGATTTGACGATTTTGATGCTAAAAAATATTGTAACATATTTCAGGACTGGGATCAATGGCTTGTTTTATTGCGAATTCAGTTTATTCGGCAGAGTCCCTCTGCAGCTCTTCGTGCATGTGCTCCTTTAGCCGATGTACATATGTCACTTGCGAAGTAATTATGTCTTAAATTATTTAGACATTTCAACTATGGAACTTGCGGCGACTTATTTATAAAGCCTTAGTCGCCATTAGTACAATCGCCGTTAGTACGAAAAAGAATAAATCTTCTCTCATGGATCATCCGAAGTTGTTGTCAATTTTAATTTTTCATTAGTCTGTCTGATATGACGAATTATTAACAATAGTTTTTATTTTCGTCTTTCAAAAATTTCCTTAGTCTTGAGATTTATAGAATTTCATTTCAGAGATCTGTTCAATGCAGCATTTATGTCAGTTTGGATAGACTTGGACGAAATGCAACAAAGAGACTTAGAAACGAACCTTAAATATGCCCTCGATTTCAGTAATCATACCGATATTACACAAACAATATTGAACCTTGCGGAATTTATGGATCACTCTGAAAAAGTAAATACAGACTTCTGTTGCTGAAACAACCATTTACATCTACTTTGTTATATTTTCAAAAGTTTTGAAACCGCATATTTCTTTTCGATTCTTGAAGAGATTCAAAAAATCGCTTTCAGGGACCTTTACCGGTAGGTAGTGAAAGATTGTGTAAATGTGCTGAACAGACTCGGGCATACGCCAAAGCGTTACGGTACACGGAACTGAATATTCGCGAAAAATTTAACAAAAATCCAGATCCAGAACACTGCCGCTCTCTCATTACGTAAGTTTTTTGTTTAGATGTTTTGTCCGATTCTTATTTGAATTTGTTAAAAGTTAATTAACTAGATTTTGCAAAGGAATTAACTTATTTACAGTTATGCAAACAAGTTGAATCTTCAAGAAGAAGCCGCTGGAATTGTGGCATTTGCCCGACAACATAATATGGAAATTGGAGTAAGTTTCATGGAATGGACCAGATTCAATAATTAAAAACTTCAGTGGTTATTGATGAAATACATATTTATGGTAGTTATATCAGTGTATGTTCTGTAATCAACAAACAGTTTTCGGGAGTGATGTAAATTCTTAAATAATGTACTATAATAGTGCTGTGGAGTTGGTTTTTGAAACGGTGCGATGATTTGAGGTATGTGATGTGTAGTGTCTGAAAAGGAGCTTTGTAAGGCTGCTAAATAACGAAATGAACACAATTATTTGACTGTTGGCGTGAATTAGTCTCTTTAACAAAAGTTATATTTAAATGAGAATATCCAATACGAAAATGTGCGAAAAGGTACAAATTTTTATAGATAGAAGAGTGACGAAAGGGTATGACACACTTTATTTCAAGTATCTTTCGTAAGTAAACTAAACAGTTAATTTAGTTTAACTTAATTGCTTATTATTTGATTGAAGTATTAATTGCTTTGTTTGTTTAAGTTGTATCGTATTAATGTTATTCGGCTTTTTTAAACTGCAGTTTTTTCATTGCAGAGACAGGGACGTTGGTATGAGAAATTGAATGAATGGGAGAAGGCACTAGAGATATATAATAATGAAACATCTATTACTGATGAGGTCTGGACTTCTCTTATTATTAATTCAAGGCGTAATTTGAAGAATTGTCTTGTCGGCGTGATTGACCTGGCA